TCAGGGCCAGTCTAGAGATGGCAAAGGGAATGAGACATCTGTTGCCTCAGGAATGAGGAGCAGTCACAGGAGAAGTGACTGGAGGGGAGATCAGGATACTCAGACAGTAGTCGCTAAGGCAGTTGCACTGCTGACTGTTTTCCTCTGAGTGCTTGATCAACATAAAAGAGTAAGAGGAAGGAGCAGCTCTTCTGACCATGCATTCTCACAAGGAGATGGGCAGGAATCCTGGTGGATATACCACAGGTTACAAGTGCTAATGGTGCGAATCATCCTACACTGAAGAGCATTAGTGTTTTGCTTAGTCAAAAGAATCTTTCTCTTGAGGAAAATGAAGAGAGGATGCTTGAATGACTGACCACTACATGTGGAGAAAGGATGGTCTTCAGAACCGGAAAGTCTTCAGAATGGTCTTCCAGCTACAGCCATTGGCTCTAGTGTTTTACTGCTGCCAGATCAAGGGCTTTGAGAAGGGCCAGGGATCTGGTAAGCCTAAGTAGTATTTTCCTGTCTCCCTGAGTGAAAACAGGACAGCTGACACTTCTCTTGACTCAAATATAAACTGCTGACTTCCTCTTTCCATGTGTTGCCCATGCCATCATAGTAAGGTCAAACAAGAACCTCTTCACCACCTTCCTTGGGAAACCACAACAGGGAACACACCAGATTTGTTTGAAAAACAGCCAATAATTTCTTACATTTTGAACTGGAAATCAAGTCTTAGCTGGGTATATGGGTTCTGCCAGCATTAGTGGTTGGTTTGTAGCAACCAATTAACAGCAGACACAGACTGGCAAAGTAAATATATATCAAAGACTGATGGTTACAGAATTCAACTTACTGATACAGGCTCTGAAGGGTCCCTGTGTTATTTGGTGACCCTTGGGTTAGTGCATGTGCTTGACCCCTTGCAGGCACAGAGGAAGAGGGTTTGAACTTGGCAGTAGTATTTACCAAGAGACAGTATGGCAAGAATGGAAGAGCTGTGGAAGCTGGAGGCCAGCACTGATGTTTCAGTAGGCAATAACAGCATTGACAACTGACACAGAGCAAAACACCTCTGAAGAGCATAACCAGAAAAGCATTTGATAGAAAAGACCTGTCAAAGCTGACAAAATCAGGGGACTGGCAGAAATCACAAGGTTGAGCAGGACCATACACACACAGTTTCTGAAGATGGCTGAACACAGTCCTTCACACTGACCACTCCTCCAAACAATGCTGGAGGACCACAAAGCCCAAGAACTGAGGGGTCTCCACAGTGATAGGACCCAGAATTTTCTCCATTGGGAGAAACAGCTGCCAAACTCTGCAAGCTTTGTTTGTCAGTGGAAGGTGATCTGACAGCTTTGTAATAAAGTACAGGGAACGTCTCTTCAGGGACCCAGCACACAAGACAAGAAGAAAGACATGGGGAAGAAGAGATGCCTCTGTAGCATAGCTCTGTCCCATCTTGTCTATCTGCTAGAATCACCCAATACACAACTTATTTTTCATGTCTCAGGAACGTACTGTCTCCATTTGCACCTTTGAAAGTCCTGCATAGTAGTACAAAGGGGACGGCACAAGGAGATTGTGGGAGATGAGAGAACTGTGGTAAAGAGGGAAGAGATCCTCATCAGTATTTCTGCCATCAAAACTTTGAGGAGGAATGAAAAAGGGAATTCAAAACCCCAACCCCCACACTAAATTTGCACTTGTTCTCTCAGGCTGGCAGCCTAGAAGTTAATAAACTCAGAAGTACCTTGTCCTGGAGTAAACTGTTCTGAAAACAGTTTCCAATGGCTTCCCCCGAGTTTGCTTTGCTGGTGGCAGCCCTTCGGCTCCATGCTGGCACATGTGTGAAGCTCTTTGAACAAGTTTTGACCTTCCTTTAGCCCCTATGCCCATCAAGCCAGCTAATGACATGCTTTGTATTGCACAGAACACATACAATTGACAAGTTCATAGTGTTGTTTAAATATTAAACAGTCTAGACAGGCTTTTGAGTCTTATGCCGCTGTGAAAAGGCTCAGACCATGCCCATCTCTGAAACTGGGCTGCGGGATCATTTGCACAGTAAGACAGACAATAAGACTTGTATACATTGCCATGCAACAGAATAGACCCCAAACCGCCAGCCCTAAGTGGAAAGTTTATTTCTAAGCACAATATATGGAAAAAACAAACCAACAAACCCCACAGATATAGAAAACGTTGTAGCAAATCCCTGGTCAAGTAGGACTTCATGTCTGTCGCTACCCTGCACCTCACAGCCGCTTAAAATGTCATGCAATGGAGGAGAGGGCACTCGGACGACAGCCTCCGCTTCAGATCAAGGAGGGTCTCCAAGCAGGAGAAGGCTGATGGGACTCCCGCTGTGATTCAGACTGTAACCAGCAAAAGGGCAGCGCTGCTCACCCCCACCACACACCTCGTGACTACCGGTGGTAGACTTAGCACTTCAACAGGCTTTACCAACGTGGATTCTCACAACACCCCTGTGAGGTAGGTACGTATTGTTATTCCCCCTTTGCGTGGAGGGGGGACTGAGCCAAACAGCCCAAGGCTACAGAGTCAGTGGCAGAGCTGGAGTGAGAGTATGCAGAGTCCTGTGTGCTCAGAGTACACCACTCTTTCACAGCAAGTTGTGCTTCTGACCTCATAAATTTTTATCTGTTAGCCAAATTAAAGGAATTTGACTTCTCCATATTAAATGAGTGGAGGGCAGGGAGGGAAACGACATCATGGGTGACAGCTGTCCCTTCGTCTGTGTATGGTTCCCCCTTCCCAAAAACACTATAATTACCCATCTCGTGGAATGAGGACAACTTCCAGAACAGGCATAGGGGTGAGAGGCTGCTGTGTTTGCTTGCTTTGGCCAGGTTTCTGTCTACTGAAGCAGTTCTTCCAGACATCATTCATTTCAACACCTTCATTCTGGGGGATAGCTACTTTCAGAAATGATTGGAACTTCCCCTTCCCTCTCCCTCTGCCCACCACCTTCTCTTTTCTCCCTTCTGCCAAAAGCACTCTTTGGTAGATAGTAAGTCTGGTCAGACAAAGGTACAGTGGCCTCAGAAACCATGCTGTTTCACACTGGTCCTCAGTAAGCTGGCTTTCTCAGATGGTGTTCCACCTCCCACATTCTCTGCCAGAGAAGTACCTGTTCTGTTGCATTCTGATATTTAAAGGGACACTGTCAAGTAGTCAAGGTGAAAAATATGATCTTGCCTTAAGCTGCTGACCTCCATCTTCAGTGTTGCAGAATGGCTGCTGTGTTCAAACACAGAGGCTGAAGTTTGACACCTTCTCCAGTCCAGAAACACCAGACCTGTGACAGCCTGGCTGCCAAAGGAGCTGGTAGCCCATGTTTGCCTTGTCTCCACAGAAGGTGTGAGAGGTGCTGGTATGATGATGGAGGGCAGCTGCATTCAGCCATCATGCAACGTTGCTTGGCACTGCTGCTAAATGGATGCAGTTTGGCTGAAGACATCATCTTGATTTTGGAGGGAGCCGGGTTCAGGCTTGATCACTATAGGGTCATTGTTTTGTGACAGCTGAGCTTTTGCTCCTCAATTAGCTAATCTCTGTATTTCTAGGGTTCCTGCTCTTATGCTTCCTCTGTGACAGCTGCAAAATAACTCAACCCCGCAGAGTTGGGACATACCCTCCATAGAATGAGGACAGTCAGCAGGAAATCAGAAATACAGATTTCCTCCTGTTGCAGAAGAAAGGTGGGGAGGAGAAGGACAGGGATGGTGAAAGGAATGGGGTGAGTGGAGAGAACCATACATGCCCAAATGGAAAAGGACAAAATCGGTAGGGAAAGAAATTTTATTTTCAAGCTTGTAAGAGAATATTACAAACAATGGAGAGTAAAAAAAGCCCAAACCCTAAAAACTATTTAAAAAGTACTTGACAGTGTCCCTTTAATATCCACAAATGATTCAGCCATTGTGCATTGAAAGAGAATGTTCCTGAAGAGCAACCGATACCTTCGAGGATATATCCCAGAGAAGGAGACTTATTAGAAGTGCTACACAGTCAGTCAGCAACTGTGCTCCCTCTTCAGACTAACTCTCTTTTGGATGATTGAATGGAATAGACTCTGTAATAAACTAACAGACTGGATGTGAAAGGATCAGCCTACAAGACTGAGTGAGACTGTTGCAAATTGAGCAGCAGAGATACAGACACCAAAAAAAAAAAAAAAAAGACATCTCTAATACATGAGTGTCTGAATCAGCAAGGGAGCAGAAACCCACCAAAGATGGGTCAGCTTCTTGTGATTAGAGTAAAATGGAATGAAATTAACCTGGAATGTCTGCATGGAAAACGATGTGTGTGGGTGGCAAGGTCTGGATGTTGGATTTGGGGTTATGAAGACATGAATCACACCAGTACTTGTGCTTGAAACACCTGCAGAACGTTTGTACAAAATTTGCCAAAAATGCCTCTACGTCAAATAAAGGTCATGGAGCGCCCTCCCCCCTCCCAGTCCTACCCTCACAAGCCCCTTGTCAGGAACATTATGAAAAAAACAGGCTTCTTGGTGAAATTTGGGTATGCCTGGATTTTGTTAAGATTTTCTTAGTGAGATGATTCAATCTCTCTTCTGTAAGTCAATACTTGAAAAATCCCCAGCTGTTTCACTTCCGGTACCCCACAGTAAATCAAACAAGGCTCCAGTGACTCATAAAACAAAACAACTCATAGCCCTGGTTAATTGGAGTCTGGAAAATAAAAACACTCCAAATATTTCGTTCTCTTCCATGTTTCTATAAATCTCACACTACGTGTGTGTTCGTGTGCGCGTGCGTGTGTGTACGGGGGCTGTGCACAGAGCGTTACCTATTCCAGGTAACGGAATTTGTAAGACATGCTAAACCGTCTGTTCCTCTGCTTCCCCAGAACTCTGCCTACTCAGTTTGTAGTCTGTATTGCACTTGTTTTGTTGGTTTTTTTTTGTGATTTGTGTTGTTATTTTTTTCTTTTTTTTTTTTTCTTTTTTTTTTTTAAACAGGCTGGAAAACATTAACCTCTTTAGCATGAGTGTGCAGCTCTCCCTCCACCTGCTTTTTTCCTTAGCTGGCCAGGTGCCGCCTCTTATATCTTGTGCAGTTACTGAAAAAAGAAAAGGAGAGAAGAAAAAAAAAAAAAAAAAAAAGGAAAGAGAAAGAAAAAGGCACACCATGCTCCTCTGCTTTATGAGTTCTTTGTCTCCTCCGCTTCGTGTTAAGGCCTCCTGAATTCCTCGGCTCAGACCGTCGTGACCCTCATGACGAGCTCTCTGTTACTATTAGACTGACTCCTCTGTTCGTGAGGCCTCAGGTGGCTGAGTATATGCAGGATGGTATAAGCACAGTGGTGGTCAGAGAGGGTGCCTGTGGCATGGCCGGCAGCCCGTGCCCCGCTGTCGGCTGGAGCGGAGTTAGTGGCTGTACCACCAGTGGAGGATGAGTGGGTGGTTTGGGAGGAGGGGCGCTGATTTGTCCTGGTCCCTGTTTTTTGCTCCTCCATGTCCTTTGTTTTGTCATAGTTCAGCACTTTCCACTGCTGATTGACCGCCTGCCACCGTTTAAAAATCCGGTAAACCGAGGGCCCTTCGTGTATTATTAGACCTGGAGGGAAGGGGGAAAGAAATAAACATAAAACACAAACAAAACTTTAGAAATAACCACAAACCTTCCCCAGCATCTTCCCCCAGTTAGCTGGTTAAGATCAGCTCTCCAGCCGGTGCCTTCTGAATGATAAATCCTGTATTTTAATTACTGACAGGCAGAGCGCTGGTGCTCCTCCTCTGCTGGATCCCTTTTCCCCCTGAATTAAAGGGATTACAGTTTTATCTCAGCCATCGATAAACAGATCGTAAATGGAGCACAGTGAGTTCTGCTCTTACAGCAAGAGTATCTGTTTACCAACAAATGCCCAAGGTTTATCTCTCACTGGGCTAATTTTGCATGCTGCATAGGCATGATTCACCAAGCCCAGGCGTGTGTTTGGAGGGGGTGTAACTGCAGCTGACGTGTCAGTGACGGCTGCTGCACCAGTGCCGTGTGCGTGCACAGCCCATGTGCACACCCCACACAGCAGCAGAGCAGACACACATGTGGAAGCCAGAGGCAGCAACTGAGCCGAAAAAGAGGTCTGTCTATACCCAAAAGTGGTTTGTTATCCAAGGCAAAGTTTTGCTCATCTGCAGAGCAGGTACCTCATTGAATGGCTTCACCATTCTGGGTCAGGATCAAGACTACCAAAAACCTTTCTAAGAAGAGTACCTCTCCTGCCTTCCTTCTTGCTTGCCTTGCAAGCATAAAAATACAGTAACAAGACCCACAAGAATCAATCCCATACCTGAACAAAGGGGCTGACTTGACCAACAATGCATAGAGAGATGATGGACACCACAGAATTAAGTGGTTTACAGCTATTCCTGATTAACCAAATGCTACAGCTCTACCCACCACCTACCTTTTCCAGACAGTTCTAGTTTCTGATGGCAGATAATTACTGGAGAAAACCTGTGCCACATCAGACCCCAAAATATCTGAAGGTCACCTTACCCTTAGGGCTCCCCATTACTCACTGATGGGATGCAGCCACTTGGTTTCTTAGTGTCAGCATCTAATGTTAGAGAGTTTAAATCACTGCTTCAGTACAGTCTGAGTTTCCAGCCTCCCTGGTTCTAAGCATAACTAGGAGCCCTGCTGACTTGATCACAGCTTAGTTTCAGGGGGACTCACGTTCATTGAAATGGGGTGCTGAGCCTGCTCACTGGCTGTAGAAGTAACTCCATTGGATAGCTTGTATGCAGATCTGACTATTTTGGAACAGGGAATGATGTAGGGCACTACAGTACAAGAGAGCTCTACCCTCTGGTTCCCACAGGCCACTAAGATTGCACAGCTGTAACCCTGTACTGCTGCTGGCTTTTTATAACCAAACCTCATGATGTCATAACAGAAAAATGTGGGTTTTCCTCCCTGCTTTGAAACGTGGCTGAGAATTCTGACGTGGTCTGATCAAAGCATCAACCATAAAAAAGCAGGACTTAGGCAAAGCCTGCAGATCCAGCCAAAGAGACAGAGCTTTGAAGCATGCCTGAAATGGATCAGCCCATGACAAGGGACATTAGACATACACTTAAATGAGCTGTCTGATCAGTAATGAATGAAATTCCACTCTGATCAATGTTTCTCAGTGTTTCTCAGAGACCACTTTAAGCCTGGGATAAAAGAGCCAAAATGAAATGTTTTCTCTTTGGCTGTAGAACATTCTCCATAGAATCAAATCCATTCTACAAAGTATTAAACATCGAGCCAGGATTGTAAATCTATTCTTAATTACCTTATCACAAATATTTAATGTGCAGCCTGATTCAAGAGGGCTGTTTATAAAATTCTTGTTTGTTTGCCTTCTAATTATAAATGTTTATGATCTTATGCAATTAACTGTGTGATGCTGATGGATGGGCTGCTGAGTCAACTAAGCAGCTGTTTTCTTAGATAGTTTTGGTTTCCAAATATTTATAAAAGTACAAAATAACTTGTTTTCATCTATATTTACTGGGCACTAAATTACTTATCGATTTTCCAGTGTCAAGCTCAGGAAGCTGTAAAATTATGAAGGAACCAAATGGAGTGGTGGGCATGGAAGCGGAAGTAACAGTGATTCATTTACAAGAGGAAGTGCCAAGAGTAAGCAAGAATCTTATCAGTTAACATCAAGCTGCAGGATGCTTAATGCTCTCACTGAAACAAATTTTGTCTGCCTCAGATAAATTAGGATTGGAATTCCTACATTCAGCTCTGTGCATCCCTTAACAAAGACACCCCTCCCTCAAGAATCATTCTTGTTGACAGAAGTGAAATGTTCAATTTAAAGGCCAGAATTCAATGGGAAGTCCTTCAGGAAGGACTGTATTCAACTTGAGGTGTCCATTTAGAAGCAATTATTCCATAAGCCAAATCCTCTGTGTGAGTGTGTAAGATTGCAGGTCAGCGTGAACTTCTCTCTTTGTTCAGTCCTCAACACAGAAAAGTCTCTATCAGAGTTTCAGATGGATTCTAGGAATATCCTGGTCCTTTTCTACTCCTCCCCATTTTATCTCACCCTCTTCTGCTTCACAAAATCTTTTCTCAGTGGATCCCCTGTGAAAACCATCATTTTCAGAAGGAAAATTTCTGTGAGTTGTACAAAAAACTTGTTACTCCAGATTGTTGCCTGCTTCATGAAATCCCTAGTTTCTAGTGCTGGTGAAACATGGGAGTGAAACTCCCATGGAATATGGGCACTCATGATGTGCTGCTCTCTTTCCCATTTTCTCATATAGAGACCTGGCTGGACCAGCATTGGATGAAATTCCTTGATCTGAAAATTGTTGAAAGCTGGACTGTCTTGGGATTAGATGAGACAGAGGTGCATTGGGTCAGTGGGCTTTTAAGAAAACTGATCAAGAGAAAGGTTCTCTTCCAAGGACCAGAAGGGCTGCTGGAAGAACACTGGCAGATGTAACAAGGGAGTTGTTTGTACCTCTGAATGGGGAAGCGAGGATCAGTTGCTGTACCACCATCCTGTGAGATTAACCCAAGGGGTTGTGAGCCTCCAATTTAAAGTAACTTTGGAGCAGCAGTTTCCCAGAAATGACATGATGTAAACTCCTGAACATGGTCAGCCTCTGCCACCAAGTGATATTTTCCCCAGAACTTTCTGCCTCTAATTAACCTTCCTCTTATTCCAACACTTGCCATGCATTTTCTTGAAAGAAACAGGTAAATTTTTGGGGCAGGAACTGTTTCACCTGTTTGCCAGTAAAGAAAACCACCAAAACAGGGCTTCTGCTGACAGTGGGTGGCACATCACCTCTGCACTGACACTCATATTATCTACAGGAGGAAAAATCACAGTCCATTCCAGCCAGTTACCTTCTCAAAAAGGCCCTGTCCTGTCACCTCTTGTTTCCACCTTCAGCAGGACTCTACCTTTTTGTTTTTCTCTTCAAATGCAATTTCATCTCAGCCAGACAGCTGCCATGCTTTACCCTGTTTCTGTTGCTTTCATTATTGGGTGTCAGGGGAAGATTATGGCAGCTGTGATCAAAGCCTAATGTTTGCCTCCACAGCAGTTGTGACTCAGGCCAAAGTAAACCAAGCTTTCTGGGAGATAACACTTTATTTGCCAGCCTTTCTCTCTGTTGACATCATTGCATACACAAACCCTTCTCTCCCTTTCTGTGAATTCTTTAATCTTTTGTGACAATCTCAAATTTCTGCACTTTTGTTTCCAAAGCTCCACCAGCTCAGCCCTCACTTATCTTTTTGCCTTAATCTTATCCTATTTGCTCCATCCTTAGTTGCCTTTTATCTTGACCTAAGAACAGGAAAGTGGATGATGATAAATCAAGAGAAGAGAACCAGAAGGATCTGTTCCAGGAAATAAAGACTTGGAAAGGGGTATGTAGTGTCTGGCATCCCTCACCATTGTGTTCAGGTCAGTTCCAGCTGAATATGACAAGTTCTCTGAATAGCCTGGCATACTTAGATGCTCCTGTGGCTGATACTCAAGGCTACAGAGCTGTGGTCTTCAGGAAATGGGGAAGAGGGTGAACCAAGGAGCAGGGAGAGGTAGTTCTGTAATAGAAAACAATGTCATAGCATCAATGCCACTCTGTACTTGGGCTGATTTGGAGGACAGTTGTGAACCTCAGAGCTGACCAGGCTGGGAATGAGGTAATGCTCTTCTCCTAAATCCTGTTCATCATCTCCAGAACCTCTTCATTTCATCCCCCTTTTTCTGCAAATGAACCCCCCAGCAGGGTGCAGGTCCCAGACCAGAGAGGTGCAGAATCAGCACTGTAACACCCCACCTGCCTTTCAATTCCCTGATAAATAAATAAATAAACTTGTATGTCACTGTCTTCAGTACAGTGTCTGGTCCAGCTTGCATTTGGGATTCTGATTTCTCATTCCTAAAGGTAATGCTTTGCATTTCTCTTTATTCAATTACATCTTGTTGATTCCTCCAATTTGCCAAGATAATTTCAAATTTCAAATGCTGATCTGATCCTCCAAAGTGCTAATAGCCTTTCCAAGCTTGGTGTCATCTGTGAATTTTATAACAGCACATCCTATTTAATTATCTAAATAATTAATAAAAATATTGAAGAGAGCAGAGCCTGAAGGACTCTCCACTTGAAATGTGTTTCCAGTTTACAGCACACCACTGACTACTACTGAGAAAGCAGTTTCTCCATTGGCTCTACACATACATTACAGTTATTTAATCTAGAGCATGCTTCTCTGGTAGGAGAATCCAAAGCACCAAGAGCACTGCCCAAGTCACAGCATATTAAACTAACGACTTCCTCCTTAGCCACTAGCACAATTACCCTTCCAAATTATATCTGGTTATACTCCTGTGCTCACCAGTTGGTTAGCTAAAAAATATTCTGTATCTTTCTATGAATCAGTTAAGCTGATTTGCCCTTCATTTTCTTGATCCTCAGTGCCTACCTTCATTATCTGCTAGAGATAATATTTAAAGCTAGGTACTCTGCTTGCATTTCCCTGGCTGCCTGGCACCTCCTGCATCCTCCTCAAGTTCCTGATGATGAAATGCTCAT